TTTCCGATTTTTTTCATACAATTCAATAAATTTCTTTAGAAATGAAAATGCATTTAAAAATATATTTATTTCAATATAACTTCAATTTAATATAAATAAACATCGGATATACTAATTAATTTAAAATAATTGATAACACTTATGATAATAATTATGATACATTATATGATATTATGAATTAAAACGAGTCTAATCAAATTCAATGACTTTTGGCTACATCTGAATAATACAGTAGCAAGTTTCAATTAGTGTAAAGTGCACCAGGGACACTGACATTTCACAGCAATTATGACATCAGATATATAAATAGTTTCAATAAAATCTATTATAATCAGAAAAATATATATTAATTCCGTAACAATAATCCAATTCTTAATGATAACCAAGATAATTTTATGAGGGAATCTACTGTATCATAGAATACTGTATCTATGATAGAATAATAGCACGAGTGGTGCCCCCTATGAGCCCCCTTCACACCCATACATGTGTCACGTTTTATATGAACGGATGAATTGTTTATCAAAAAAAGTGTGTTTTTGTGTCTATTTTGCGGATCAACTGAATCACTGAATCGAAAGACACCGCTGAAGACGCGCGAAGACACGGACCAAACCATCGCCACCACTGACCCCCACCGCCGACAATGTCCATAGAGATCGAGAGCGCGGACGTGATCCGACTGATGGCTCAGTACCTGAAGGAAAACAATTTGCTGAAGACTTTGCAGACACTGCAGGAGGAGACGAGTATCTCATTGAATACCGTGGACTCCGTGGAGAGCTTCGTGCACGACATCCACTGCGGGCACTGGGATGTGGTGCTCAAAGTGGTGCAATCGCTCAAACTTCCCGACAAGAAGTTAATGGATTTGTACGAACAGATCGTCACTGAGTTGATTGAGTTGCGAGAGTTGGGCGCCGCTCGCAGTCTTCTCCGCCAAACGGATCCCATGATTAAGCTCAAGACAGAGACGCCCGAAAGGTATATCCATTTGGAGACACTGCTGGCCAGGAGCTACTTCGACGCCCAGGAAGCCTATCCCGAGGGCACCAACAAAGACAAGCGCCGGCAGCAGATCGCGCAGAGTCTGAGCGGCGAGGTATCAGTGGTGCCGCCGTCCAGACTACTGGCCCTCTTGGGTCAGGCGCTCAAATGGCAACAACATCAGGGGCTCCTACCTCCCGGCACTTCCATAGACCTGTTTCGCGGTAAGGCGTCCATCAGAGAGCAGGAGGACGAGACGCATCCCAACGTATTGTCCAAAAGCATCAAATTTGGTGCCAAATCGCACGTAGAGTGCGCGCACTTCTCGCCCGACGGCCAGTACCTCATCACCGGATCCGTCGACGGCTTCATCGAAGTCTGGAACTTCACCACCGGAAAGATCCGCAAAGACTTGCGATACCAGGCGATGGAGAACTTCATGCTTATGAACGACGCGGTGCTGTGTCTGTGCTTCAGCCGCGACTCCGAGATGCTTGCGAGCGGTTCCCNCCTCAAGAGTGGCAAACTGTTGAAGGAGTTCAAGGGTCACACCTCCTTCGTCAACGAAGTTATCTATAGCTTCGATGGACACCAACTCATAAGCGCCAGTTCCGACGGAACCATCAAAGTATTGATCGTTTGATCCCATTTTTCTCTCATTTGTAGTAATCGTTTGTCTAATCGTTTGCATAGATATGGAGTCTGAAGACAACGGAGTGTTTGCATACGTTTAAGTCGACCGCTATAGTGAGCACCGGGACTGTCGACTTAACTGTCAATTCAATTCAATTGCTGCCTAAAAATCCGGAAAATTTTCTGGTATGCAGTCGTAGTAATACATTGAGTATTATGAATACGTCGGGACAGGTATGTCATGGACCGCTCTATAAGTCTTATAACAAAAATAGTAATTTTATTATCCATTGAATGGTGAGAACAGATCGTTAAGAGCTTTACAAACGGCAAACTCGAAAGCGGAGACTTCGTGTGCTGTCGGGTGAGTCCGAGAGGGGAGTGGGTGTACGCCGTGGCCGACGACTACAATCTTTACTGCTTTAACGCCAACACAACAAAACTGGAGAAAATACTGCCCGTCCACGAGAAGGACGTGATAGGACTGACACATCATCCGCACCAGAATCTGATCGCCACATACAGTGAAGAGGGTTTACTCAAGATATGGAAGCCTTGAGTGGGTCTCCGGTTAGCCATTCAAATGTACTTCACTTTTCGTTTCATCCATTTTTAGATATATTTGTATTTACTGTATATTTATTACTAATCATTTATTTTGAAAATTAAATTAATTTTTTGAAATTGATGTCAACTTATTCTGGGATTTTTTTCGATAGGAATAGCAGGGAGGGGGCGGTAGGTGTATATAAAGTTAATACCGGTTAGTCTTCTATGGAAACCTTTAAATATGTTTGAAATTGACATTAATTTCCTTAACAATGAAATCAGAGGTGGTTTTGTTGAAAGGTTTTCCAATGTATTGATTTATAGTATAATTGGAGTATGATTTGAATATTTTATCAATTTAATAATAATGTGTTGTAACTTGATGAGTTAATAAGTGTTTAAAAATCTAAATCTAGACTTAATTCAATATTTAAGTCAATCGGAAATCCTATGGCATGTGCACTGAAGCGGAAGCTTTAAAATGATTTATGACTAGTAATAAGAGGTTTGTCTCAAAGGAAACGTTGGATTTGTAATAATTTTTCATAAAAAGTTTATACATTTTAAATGAGAAAGTTATTATTAACAAAATTTAAGTGCAAATTATGTTAAATGTAATATTGTTTATAATAATATTGAGATTCAATTCCATTCAAATGGATTGCGGGTTTCCAGCCCTCCCAGAGTCCACTAAAATCAGTATTTATAAGAAACGTTACGAAGAGTACAGTTTTATACAATACGAGTGCGATTCTGAGGACAAACTACTTGTTGGGAACTCCACCTTACGTTGTATTAACGGCAAATGGATCGGCAATTTACCAAGATGTGGTAATTAATCAAACATTATTTCATTTTAGGTTTATTATACTGTGATATTTGCCAGAAAATGAACATTTCTATACCATTTTCTAGCACTTGAATCCAAATCGATGCCTAAATTGTTAATAATACCCGACTTAATGACCGGCAAAAAGATTTATAGGTTTTTTGGTTCATTTTTTAAGGGATGTTATAAACCAGAGTTCAGTTGGAATATCACTTCCAGTCAAAGAGTGTCCATTCAATTGGAAAATGAGGACAGAATCGACTACTTTTCTATAATACTCTTTGCAAAGGATTTGATGAATTACTTGCAAAACGGAGATCTCGTGGTAAAGGCTCGCATCCATAAGTCTCGCCACAAGTGTTTCGTCGATACCTTCGAGAACATTGACGACAACCCAAACAAAACCAAAGTCTCGTTTAAATGTCAGCCTATTTTAGATGAGTTCACACATTCAGACATCCAATCGATACGAATGGATCTGATAAAAGTGATCTCATTTGACGTTCAGTCAAAACACAGACTTTTGGTGACTTTCTGTTCGTTTAAGTCCTACTCATTCAGCGATTCTTGCGGTTCAGTCGAAAAGCCGTTGCATTCAATTGAATTGAGTCACGAAAAGTGGTTCACTATATTTGGCTGCGAAGAAGACTTCTATTTGGATCCGATTAGCAGTCAAAGAGTGTTTTGCGAGTCATCCGGCACTTGGAATACAAGGTTTCCCCGGTGTTTGGCTAAGACATTGTGTCGACTGCCGGCGATGGACACCTCCGACCACTACATTCACGTGGAGTACAAATACCTAAACTATTTGAACGGAACGCCTAATGCAGAGACCAACTCAATGGCCATATATTCGTGTCGTACCGGCAATGAGACGGACATTGAGTTAAGAGGAGATAA